CCCCCCCCCCCCCCCCACCACCACCTCGTTCTTCTCTATTTCCTCCTCCTCCTCCTCCTCTTTGCTTCTTTTTGAAGAACTTTGAACACCCCCCTCGCTCAGTGCTTTACCCTTTCCCCATCAACCTCCGCAGTCGCTCATCAACCTCTTCCCTCCCACCATCAACCTCCCTTCCCATCACCCTCCATTTCCCGCGGGGGCAACCCCTCCCCACACCAAGCTCAAAATGTTGTATTTCATCACTAAAACGCATGCAGAGGTTGTATGTTGAACTTTGCAATCATCTGCATACGTCTGCATATCAAGCTCAGAATACCCTCAAATTAGAAGACCGTGCACATATTTCTTCAGTCGCATGGAGTTCCACGGTATTTTAGAAGACAACTGCACATTGCACCATGGCGAACTTCCTTGTTCAGTTCCTTCAAATCAACAACAGAATGGAGGAAAGCAGATTGAAAGAAGATTCACTGGGAAGCTCATAGTGAAACACAATCCCTTACTAACCCTGTTGTTTCCCCCTACAAAAAGGCAGAAAGAACTTCAAAGGAGTACGTCAACTTCTTGTTTGTTGAACAGATCGTCCCCAGGTAAGTCAGAATCACTTGATTTCAGAGCCATCAACTGGTCTTGAACACAAGTCCCTCTTTCAGCAGCTCATGGGCGTGCCAACTAGCTGTACTCGACAGTTCATGAGTTTGTCTACTTCTCAAAAATTTCAAAACTCGACTTTCTTTACACTGGTATCAATTTGATTTCAAAAAAATTGAAACCCGAAGGGAACGTGGAGGGAAGGCAAGGCAATGGATACTGAAGACGTACATTTAGAGGTGTCGAAAGTGCTTTGATCTGCAAGCAGAGCTCCTCCAGAGGCATTCGCTGCATCTCGGGCACCTGGTGCTCCGCCATGGAATCGTGTACCTGGCCAATCCGCATGCCGAATCCCAATCCAGTAGTCAGACTAAAGCAAGGCCCAGAGATGTGGCAGACTGCAAATTCAATGCCCTTCATTATGGAGTGTCCTGGACATGCTCGATCGACATTCGGGGAGTCGAGACTACAGAGTGGCATATGCAAGAGATTGCATTCCCTCAGCAGCCTTGCTATCATGCCCGATGGATAAGACTTCCGCTTGGCAAACAAAACTGACATGACGCTGCTTGCTGGCTCATGATCATGGCTGTTCCATGTTACAAACAGTAGCAGGTCATACACTCCGAGGTTGCAAGTTGATTGATTGCACATGGGAAGGCCTTGCCAGGACAAGCCTCCCTGAAAGGTCTGCTGGAACCAACCTCCCAGGTGCCTCCAAAAACTTCCGTGGGGACGCAGAGGGCATGGAGAAATAAAGTACAGTGCCAGGCCATAGGAAGGGTGTACTTATGCCAACCACAAAATTGCACTTACAATGCACACATGTGCCTTACTTTCCGAGCAGCAAGCACCCTACTCTAGAAATTCCACTGGGAAGGCAAGCCGCAGCAATCATAAGATTCATAACTCTCTCTCTCTCTCTCTCTCTCTCTCTCTCTCTCTCTCTCTCTCTCTCTCTCTCTCTCTCTCTCTGTGTGTGGATTACAATGCCCCCATGGGTGGGAAGTGTATGCAATTGCAACAATCATGGTTTTGCATCAACAGATTCAACACACGAATTGTACTTGCTGGGCCTAAATACTTGTGTGTGCTTTCAGATTTGTCCTTGTTGTTTGTCCTATTCATTTTCACAATTGGCCTAAGAAACAACACACGGGATGAGAACTTCAAGGTATGTCTGCACCCAGCCTGGGAAGTGGAAAGGTACAGAGGCCCAGAGGCGGCCTGACTGGTCGCCAAGTATTTAGGCCCAGCCAGTTCAGTCAAACAGAGACCGGGGACGCCGCTACGCTGGCCAGGACTGACTGGTCGCCAAGTATTTAGGCCCAGCCAGTTCAGTCAAACACAGACTGGGGACGCCACTACGCTGCCCAGGACAGGCGAACGAAAAGAGCACATAAATTCTGGAAGAAATATACAAGGACTGTACACAGAATAGTCAAATAAAAGAGTGCATGGAATTCCAGAAGGAATACACAAAGACAATGGGCCTCACTTCACTACTCACCAAATGTGCACAATGAGGAGGAATCTTCCGCTAGAAAATAGAACATGGATGCCATACTTCTTGCCTTTTGTGCATGTGGAGAGTGGTGGAGTGAAGCCCTATGGCACCCTGGAAAATCTTGGGGTTTAGTCAACGCAACAAGCTGAGGCAGCAATGTTGACTTTTTGAGTACAGAGCTGCAAACGGATGAACATTGACTTGCAATGTCGTGCTCTCAGAACTCTAGTCACTCATGTCATCCCTGGCTGTCCTTGCCATCCATCAATTGTCAGAGAAGGATATCGTCTGGTGTTTTGTTGGAAGTAATCAATAAGCAACCTTATCACATGCTCATAAAGAAATGGGCACAAGCACACAAGGAAAAAAGGAAGAGTCGACGAAGATGACACAAACATCTTGCAGAACTTAAGGTCATCATCTATTTGACTCATGAGTGCACAACCAAACAGAAGATCTTGATCACTGAGGGGGGGGGCGGAAGCTGTGCGCAATAGAACAGGGCTTTGAATTGGAACTCACCGCTTTGCTGTAGAGCCTGAAGCAGAAACCAGGCTGCACACGCCCTGCTCGACCTTGTCGCTGTCGAGCGCTCGACTTCGAAGTCCACTGAAGAGTGGCGTGAAACATTTGAACATTAACCGAAGCCGACAACATATTCCACAAGAAGTCAGGGGACTGGGATAAACAGACCACTTAATCAATTCTGCAGCTGTGTGGCACAGCAGTGTGTGCATGGACCAGATCCACAGGGATTCCACATGATCACAAGTCACTTCCCACTAAGCTAGTTCTGCATCCAATCTACCCAGGGGGGAGAGGGGATCGGGATTGGGAACCTTGTTTGCAGTCTATAAAGGTGATGACACCCAGACGGTCCTCTGGTGCCGGGACAGCACGACCCGATAGGAACATTGTGCTTCGGAAGGTACATTCCAACTGCTTTCTTTGTTGACAAAGCAAGACATAGGGTCCTTTTTCAATCTCCTTTTTCTTGTACATCACCGTGGAGGACACATGTTATATGCAGCAAAGCAATCAAGACAAAGAGCTGCATGAAGAGGAGCCCCAGCCATGAAAATATAATGGAAGATGAACCCAGACCTTGGGCCAGGTGCCTGTACAGTTTCCATAAAAGCACAATCCTACCAGGTTTAAGGGGGCATTGCAACAATTCAATATTCTAACACTTCATTGTCCCCGAACTTGGTCATCAAAATTTGTCCTTGCAATAGAATCCTTTTCCTTAGAGATGAAACAACGGGGCCCACACTCCACTTCCAGCTGCCCAGTGAGGAAAGCGCAAGAGGTTCTGGACAGTGGGGCCCCACTGTGCATCCAGCTGCTCCAGTCTGAGCCTCGAGAGGGTGTGCCATGCAGAGTTATAAGCTTGTGTCATAATTTTGACATGGGTACTGTGACAAAGGCTGCTGCTCTGTTGCGCACCACCTGCTTCCCGTTTATCGGCATTCTTGTGCTGATTTATCGATCCGTGGCCAGCTGGACCTAGTTTAAGACATTTTTCTTGTTGTGCAGCTGTGCTGTGTTCGGAGCCCGGGTGTTTATCTCAGTATTTTGTAGGCTCTAGGCATCAGCTAGCCTGTCGGCAGAGGGGTCACGAGGCTGGCTTTCATGTTGTCCTTCATTTCAAGTTTAGCAAAAGGGGAAGCATTTTGCCAATTAACTTATGATAGTGAGATGCGGTCACATTCAATATGCTCCCCATTCGTTGCATCTTGCTTTGGGCTGTCAGGAGCACAGCCGGACATAAGCTTCTGGCTGTGTATGCTGAGAAAACGTGTTTTCAAAATTCCGCAGCCTCCACCTGTGTGATTCTAACAACAGGGATTGCCGCGAATTGCTCATAAATTTGGACTGCAAGTCCTAGTATAAGGGTATAATCGGTGAACCTTCGTAGCGAACAGTTATACAAGATAAGTTGAGAATTGGGTAAGGAGACTGGTCAGCGTTCTGATATCCGCACACCTGTTGCAATGGAAGGACAGAGCTGGAGTCATAAGTAAGCTTAGCTTATACCAGTGACATGTATTCCTGGTTTCCAATGGATATCGATGCACCCGTTCCACTGGAAGCTTCTCAAGCACTGGTGGAACCTAGTCTGCCTTTTCTGGCCCCTACGCTACTGCTAGGCCCACTATCTAGAACTTAAAACTCCCGTTGCCTCATGCGTTCCCATACGATGAGGGCTGGCCTCTTGTGACGTTCGTTTCCAACTGAAATGCATGGCGGTCTTTGTGGACATAATCTACACCAACAAAGAATCCGTTACAGTGTGTCTTCGAGATTGCCACCGCAACAACCCCTGTTCCACCCAGACGAGTAGATGGAAAATCAAAGCAGATTTACACTATTGCAGACAGTGTCTGTGAGTTGCCAGGCAAGAGAGCATCCAAGCAGAGTTGTATAGTTGCAAGGATACTGCGGCATGCAGCAGACGGCTAGATCATCCTAGATGATAAAAAAATGCTGAGAATCCACACAACAGTTCAGGAAACAACTGGCTCAAAGGGCTGATACAGGGCACTGCATGGTGAGCATATCTGCCATGATTCGTAGAATTCAGAAGAACAAAGAATCCGTTACAGTGCGTCATAAACAGTCATGACGACAGCTCCTTTTCCACATGGATGCGCCGATCTAAAATTGAAACAGCTTTACCTCTCATAGCAAACAACATGAAGCACAACAAAACCACTATTCTGCCTTCTTGTACAGTCCTTTTTTTGCTTTCTTTACTTTGGCTTTCTTTGGGGTATCCTTTTATTTCCTCTTGCAGCTCCCTTTTACTGCGCCTCTAACATATAAGGCTTGCCACATTGAATATGATTGAATGTAAGCTGCCCGCACCCCTGTGCACCATAATGGCCCGCTTACACGCATTGCAAGGAGACAGAGTAAAGGGGGAGGTATACTCCTCCTGTTCATTTTTCAGCAGATCCGTTATGGTGTGTGCGTGTCTATCGTTCGTCAGGCAACAGAGCCCCCAAGCCGAGTTGCGTAGTTGGCGTCGTACTGCAGCATGTAACAGACAGCTAGATGATTAAAATTACTGAGAATCTGCAAAACAATCAAGAAATTAACCGGTTCAAAAGCCTGATAAAGGACAGGACAAGAACAATGCGGTTGGAAATGCTCATTCGCTTACCACGACCCGGAATGCTGTCATGTTCCTCGCTGGATCAAACTGATTCTCTTTTACTTTCCCACAATCCACCACATAAACAATGTCATCAATTGTTACACTCGTCTCTGCTATGTTTGTGGCTAAGATGACCTGCGATACACAAGACACCCAGAATATACAAATGAAAAACAGACGCATACAAGCAATACAAGAATAAAAATGCTGATGCGGCATAAAATTGCTAAGTTGTCTGTGAGCGAGAAAAGGTGAGTATATACAGAAAATCTACCAACTGCAGGAAAGCAAACCATACCAAACCACAGGCTACAAATACTAGACAGTGAGCGAGAAAAGGTGAGTATATACAGAAAATCTACCAACTGCAGGAAAGCAAACCATACCAAACCACAGGCTACAAATACTAGACAACCAGTGTTGCACGCCCCAACGGTTGGCAGCCCTTGACTGGTCGGACGCCGACAAGTCGACCGGTCAGCTGGTCGGCACCTGCCGGTCAGGGGTCGTCTGCACCCCGCACAATTTTGTTTTTTGTGGTGGGTCCATAACCCCACCAACACCGCTGTCTGTGTGTGTGTGTGTGTGTGTGTGAGAGAGAGAGAGAGAGAGAGAGAGGGCTGTACTCAGCAAGCGCAGTACAGCCCCTAACTCAGTTTTGAAAAAAATATCAGTGGATGGCTGTTTTCTGACTGGTCGGCAGACAGCCGACCGGTAGGCAGTTGGGGTCGGCAGGCATGCAACCCTGTAGACAACCAAGAAAATGACGAAGGTTAGTTTTGAAACTACGGGTTCAACTACAAGCTGTATGGCAATTTAGCCAGCCACATCTCAAAAGCAGTATCATCAATCACCCCCACTCACTTACAACATTTGTGTGCTAACCTCATGAAACAAGCAGTGCTGTTGGTGTGGCTATTATCTGTAAGACAGTTTCTCTCTCCAACCACAGAGGCCAAGTCGCAATCGCCAGTCACAGTGATACTGACATGGCAGAAAGGCAGTAAGGAGCTATCAACAATGACGAGGGGATTCATACAAGCGCACATCCAAGGACAGCAGGCACATAAATCGCCCAATCCTAACATAGGGGAAGAAAAAGCAGACTGGCTGTAGTGGCGCACACAAGAACTAACTTGCATTGACAATGCATGTGGCATACTACCAATGCTTCTTAACTGGAACATCGATTAAGATTATGACTCAAAGCTCTCCCTCCACCTCAAAAGCCTCAGCTTTAGTTTGACTGTCATGAGCCTGATAACTTCACAAGAGCACTTCCTGAAAGTTCTACAAGGAGAATGGGGATAAACATTACCTTTCTCATTCCTGGTGGAGCTTTTGCAAATACTGCTCGCTGATCACCGACAGGGATCTGTGAATGGAGGAGGAGGATATGGAGTTTCGAGCTTCCAGGCATGACGAGTAGCTTCTCCTTCACAGTTGAAATAACATCCCAGCCCTGCACCAGCCACCACAGACAGGGGGGTTATAACTTATGAACTACACTACGACACAAGACAGACTTCACAGGAGCGTTAGTTCGCAAAAAATAACTCTGATGGAACACATTAGCCTGAAGGTGACGGTGACTTTCCTTTTCCAAAAGTGACATTCACATGGATCTCACATCCCACTAGAGGAGATATATGAGATAGGGGCAAGCACAGACGCCCAAGCCTTGGGTAAAGGTTTTCAGAACTACGTCTATCTGAAATGACCACGGCATGCAACAAGGAGGACAGAGGCAGGATCCCATTCAGATGTCCCACACTAGAGTTCCACTAGTGCCATAGACATGAAGTAATGATGGACACACGGGTATGCAAATGATCGAAGTCATTCCACTTTGAGGGACAGCCACACTTTCCTAGACCATCATGTGCGCACAGAGAGAAAGAGTGGATTCTTTCCCTACCTTGCTCCACCCTCCATATCCACCATTCTTCTTCTATCAGAGAGAGAGAGAGAGAGAGAGAGAGAGAGAGAGAGAGAGAGAGAGAGAGAGAGAGAGAGAGAGAGAGAGAGAGAGAGAGCTTATTTCACAGCCCATCACATTGAGCAGATAGAAAGGAGGGGTAAAAAATCAGCAGCATACGGCTCTGTGGACCTACTGACACTGTTTTATTAGGTCCTTGTCACCAATATCCTTCTTCCTGTCTCGAACCGAAGCTGGTTTGCAGAACTGGGCCTGTCCATGGCGTCTGGAAATTCTGGTAATGGAGTTAGAGGCTCCCGAGTACTGGTGGTTTAACTGCCACTGTAATTAAAGCTTCCGACAAGACCAGCTGCTTTCAGCCACACGTCCCTCTTTCCAACTAAGCACAGCCTGGTACGCTCTTGTCTACAGACAGCTGAGATGAGGCAGTCAAAGTGGCACCGGTCCAACGCCGCCAAGAAGCCCCTAGGTTTTAGTTTCCCCTTCCATTGAGTGGGTAGCAAGGACCCAGGTTCTTTTCTGTAGCCAAGGTGCTGTGGTGACAAATACACGACCACCATCCTGATGTATTTACCTTCCAGATGAGGGACTGATGAGTTTATGACCTTCATATGAGTATTAACACAACTCGCTGCAACTTCTGAACAGGAAGAACAAAGACATTTCCATTGATGAAGGATAAGATGACAGCGATAACCATCCTATTATGTTTCTCTGTCTTCCATATCTCCATCCCCACTTGCATGTTAACGTACCGGAAGGAAGCATAACACTGCTCCATCGCCCTCTCCAAACCGTGAACCCACCCATAATATGGTGGCCGCAGCAAGATCCGTGTCAACATCTTCATCCTCCTCCTTCTGTGCACGAGTTTGCCCATGTTGGCCAGCTGAGACAGCCCGTAAGACTGCGGGAGGGCAAGCAGAGCCCATCATTGATGGGAGTTCCTCCAAGTGCTTGACTTGGACAGGAAACGTGAAGCCAGGAATTGTCACCAAAGGACAGCTCCCAAAATACCTGACAAGGAGACAGCAAGAACTGCTTAGCAGCTTTTCCAACAAACAGCAACAAACACCTCCGAACCAATCCGACAATCACTCTCTCCTCCCAATGCAAGGGGAAATTGAGGACATATCTGAAATACCGGTTTGGAGAAGTATCATAGCAAGTATACTGGTCCGCCCGTGTATCGCGACAAATATACCTGGAAAGCTGCCGAAATACCGTTTTTGAGAAGTTTCGACGCAGATTTACCAGGCCGTACCTTGTTTCCTGACAGAGGCCTGACCTGAGGCAAGCCCTCCAAGGCCCGCAGGTCCTCTGTTGCAAAAGGAGGTACCTCAGGTTTATTTGTCACGAAAGAAGGTACCTCCTGGCAAATCTGCATAGAAACTTTCTAAAAACGGTATTTCTGCAAGTTTGCAGGCATGTTTGTGGCGATACACGGGCGGACCAGTATACTTGCTACGATACTTCTCCGAACCGGTATGCTTCATTGAGGAAGAGAAATGAGAGGTTTTGGGGAACCCTACATAAGTCAATGCAAACTCGACCCTGAAGACATTCACATCATAGCAGAACCGAGAACACAACCAGTGGCACAAAAGATCGCCCTGAACCACACCGAGCCTTTGAGGTTCTGGCATCACTGACATTCACATTGTCTTTATTGAGCAGCTGGGGGGGGGGACTTAAAAGACTTAAAAAACACTTAAAAAAGGAAATTGCCGACACCCAACGGTTGCCCTGGATCGTGAGTGATGACTGAACTAGATTTCGAAATAGGGCAAGATGCTCATTTGCGGCTTTCCTTCCAACCAAAAAAAGAGTTTGATCACATTTCTACCTTATCTAGTTATGTGCGTCATCCTTGCACAAGGGCCATGCTAATCTTCTCTGTATCGTTCCAATTTTAACGGATGTCCCAAACAACAAGCATATCTGTATCTTGGGGATGTCAAAAGCACAGATTTCGTTTGTTTTTTTCTTGCTTGTTTTTTTCTCCTGAGACAGGTCCTTATGATCCTGGACCGGAATCCACATTCCGGTGAGCATCAGTCCACGTTTCCCGCCCCTGGCAAGTCACAAGAACACGACCTTCACATATTCACACTTCCTTCTGTTACGCCGAAAACCGTGTTGAAAGACAACCCAAGAAAACTGTTTGCATAGCACCCAGCCCATCCGGCTGGCTGAATGCTACCTACACCATGTAACCGTTGATAAATAGATGGGTTCAAAATTGTTGATAGTATCAGATGGATAGAATAGTGTCCGGGGCTACCTCCCATGGGAAAAGAAAAAATAATGAAACTGTTCGCATCCCTGCACAAACAACGTACCTCTGGAAGTTTGTTGCATCCAGCGTTGCACTCATGACAATAAGCTTTAGCTTACAATTTACTCTCAAGATTTCCCGCATCACAATCAGCAAGAAGTCCGTATCCATGTCCCGTTCGTGCACTTCATCCACTACCACATGGCTAACACCATCCAGCCCATCACTTCTCTGCCAACAATGAAAACATTGGAGAAACAATCCGAACGCAAGGCAAGGTATTATTTTTGGCCCCTTAAGATGTGTCCAACCGTAGAGGAACCCTGGAAGTCTTGTGGGAGTCCAATTGGGACCAGTCCACAGATAGGTCTAGGCCTGCCGTCTTCACCCCAATTGAATGCCCGGTCATTATATCTGTATTCGATGAAACATACCGCATAGATACAGTGATAATGACCGGGCATTCTATTTGGGTGAAGATGGTAGCAGCACAGCAAAAGAGCGGGAAAGGTCAGAGAAGCTTTGCTTACATAACCCGAAAAGGGCGCTTTCCCTTTATCTACTGGCTGGAGTGCTGTAGGAGAGCATACCGCCCAAGCTCCCAAGCAGCCAAGAGTTAGACAGAGTCTACCTTAGCTGCAGGGTGAGATAGTACCAAATGTCAGGAAGACAATCGTGCAATCAGACTCGCTTTCTTCTTTGCTTCGCATGCATGCAAACAGATAGCAATTCACACTGGCACCAGGCGCCCACTCAAAGCTCAGAGATATGGAAACCAAGAACACAGTTCAGATGCAAACTCGCTTCATCCAGCTATGGCGCATCAGCGCCTGTACACCGAACCCTCGTTACTGTGTCCAACACCACTGTTCGCACGTACTCAACTCCGGATCACCCTGAATACTCCACGCACACGTACTCTGTCTCACGCACACACACACACACACACTAACGTCTATCTCTAACCTGTGGTGGCTATGGCCGCTCGCTACTACTACTATGGCTACACTATATTCTTCCAGCCCACTTCAACTCCGGGCGCTCTGCAGACCACCTCGCACAAGATGCTGGGGCAGCGCTTCCGCAAGGCTTACGCAGCGAATGAATGGCTGGGCGCTGCCTCTTGATTTATACTTCTGTAACTCGTTGGTCTGCCCCCTTTCCACCGGGCCCATGGTGCACACAGTCCCTCATGGTACTTGCTTGACTGGACTGGGACTGGGTGGACCGGTACCGCTGACTGCATGGGTTTGCACTGCCAAGTCGATGCAGTCGCACTGCCGACGTAATGCAGTTGGGCTCACCACTTGCCCACTTGCCTCTGACTAAACGTGAGGCAAATTCGAAAGGCCACTTCCAGACCTTCCGGAAGTCTGTGAACTTGGCCTTTCGCGTACTGTAGCAGCTACGACCTTGACCTTTCAGGACTGTAGCAGCTACGACCTTGACCTTTCAGAATACCTACAGCTACGACCTCTACAGAGCTGTGACTCCTAATCGACAGACCTACAGATCGAACCCCTACCACTACACAGACCTGCGACAGACGACAAACAACTACCAAAACACAGGTCACGGATTCAAACACTCGGGGCTCGACTCGATACTGTACATGGGCAAAGTGAGGTCTGGGGGTTCAAACTCTAGGGCCCGCATCCGTGACTGCAGGAAGGTGAAAACCGTTTCACTCGCACATCATGGGGACATGGTCAGCAAGGAGGAGGAACAACCTCGTCGCACAGTAAGGTAGGGGAGAACAATGCAATACTGACGTTTAGAGACCACACCTTTGACAGCTGCATCAATTTGTCTTCATTTCAGATACAAACAGAGCTTGTCGACAGACATATAAGGGACCAGCGTGCTTTGGACATCGGAAAGCTTTCATTAACTCATGATTATGTATCGTACTTGTTTCTTCGCTCGATCTTTCCATTATCCTTCTTCGGTTTTAGGGTTCTGTAAAGCTGGTGGTTGATTTGATATGCGGTCAGGCATTCATCCTTTGCACAAAGCTGAGGCCATCGAGTCTCAGGCAGATTCATTAAGGCCGGCGTGACAAAATGGTGCATGTAGAAACATCAGAACTGATTTGGTTTCGACAAGGATAAGTAAATCATAGAACAAAGTTCATCAAACACGTACAAATGTCTCAATGCTTGCCAAATCAATTTTCCTGTGAATAGCGGGGTCTGTTCAACCAGACGCTGGGCCTACTGGTGTCACGATTGCCAGAATGATACCAACCTGCCATATTCCACGAAATGCTGCTTGTTTTTTTTTACAGGGAAAGGTGACTGCACAAAACCTTGGGACGCAACTTCTCGCTCAAGGCAGACAGCCAATTTTCACCTTGACATGACCCTGTTTAGGGAATGTAGGGCTGAGATTGAAAGACTAGGCAATTAAATTATTAAAAAAATAACAATGCCTGAAAGGATTTGGTTCAGAATCGTAAGGAAAGTGACATTGTGGGTGATTTGGAAGGAAAGATGCGGCAGGACGATTGAAGGAATAGCCAACGCACGTGAAAAAGTTTGGACCGAGACCAAAACGATGATTCAAGCGGAGATCCTCTGCAGATGGCAGAAGATCAAACAATCATGGACAGAAGATGAGGACCAACAAAGAAAGGCGAGGCTGAGCTTCAGCAGAACCTGGCTGTTAAATGGTAAAGTGGCGGACCTAAGAGAAGATCGCATCTGCTGGAAAGAATGGCACAACTCAAGTTCAGGGAGGGGTCATCAGCAACATACATCGGTGGAAGGACAAAACTTACTCTGACCAGAATGATCACAAGAGAGATCGATGGCTGCAGCATTGGAGCGACGGTCCAGAGAGGAATGCAAGGTGTAAGGAGGAGGACACCAGCAAACTGTAAATAGAGGCCCAAAGTTCAGCTAAGCTTGGACAGGGGACGAGTGACAACAAACACCTCTTTATGAAGCCTGCAAACGTCTCAATTCTCTCCAGCACAGCACGCCGAACCGATAGCATAATAGCTGAGAGGAGCAGGACTGAGGCCAACCAGAATAGTAAGAGCCAATTAAAGCAGGCTAACTTATGCAGGGGTGAGGGGGGGTATATCCTTCCACAGGGAAGCAATCAATGCCGCCCGCTCGGGCCTCTCAGCCATAATGGGGAGGAGCGTGTGTGAGTATCCAAATGTATTACATATTGACTTGCCGGGAAARAAAAAAAAAAAAAAAAAAAAAAAAAAACAAACAATAATAGTACAGCCATTTGGTCGTCTTGGAATAAGCTGGGGTTTGACAGCTTCGACCCCTTAGCAGGAGAAGGGGARGGGGAGGRGGGGGGGGGGGGGGSCGGGGGGGGCGGAGGAGGGAACAGTCCTAACGGTTTCCCAGTCTCTATTAAGAATCACTTTGTTCCAAATGAAACGGTTTCACCCAGTTGACCTTGTACTGCAGTCACAGAGATTCGATCCCTAGACCTGTGCGCTAACCCTGTACATTGACCCTGTGTGCTGAGTGAGATTCGATCCCTAGACCTACCCTGTACCTGTACATAGACCCCGTGACCTGAGTAGGATTCGATCCCCAAACCTGTCCTACGACTTAGGTTAGTCTGTAGTTTGGTCAGTAGGGCTTGATCCCTAGGTCTGTAGATTAGCAGCTAGGTCTGTTACCAATAGGCCTAGAAAGCCTGTTCTAGAAGTCTCTACTGAGTCTGTCGAAAGTCTGCAGAGTCTGTAGGTTCCAGAAGTCCGTAGGGTTCTGTAGGGGAAGTCCAGCCAGCATGTACCTGGGTAAGGGCTGCACGTGGGGAAGGTTCTGGAGCATGCAGAGAGTTCCACACGTTTTGGCCCAGAAGGCCAAACGTCTGGAAGCTTCCCTGGGCCACACGTTTTGGCCCAGGCCCACAGGTCTGGAGGCAGGGTCCGGGTACGTCCGAAGAAGTATAAATAAACAGGCAGCGTCCAGCCATTCATTCATTCGCCTGTGAGCCATGCGGAAGAGCTGCCTTGGTGTCTTGTGCATGGAGGTCTGCAGGTGCCTGGAGACGAAGTGGGCAGTGAAGAAGACAGCGGCCATAGCTGGCCAGTGGGGTAGATGTCGGCGGCCATAGCCAGCAGGAGGAAGATGACGACGGCCATAGCCGCCCAGCTGTTGGTGAAGACAAGTGTTCAGAGTGTGTGAGGCTGTGCTGAGTGGGGACATTCAGGATGATCCTCGTACGTGCACGCATGAGACAGTGAGGGAGAGAGTGAGGCTGGTGGTAGAGACCGTGTTCGGCGGCCATAGCCGCAAGTTGTGCAGCTGTTAAGATTGAGTTTAAGACAAGTTCATTGTTGTTTTTTTTGAGTTGCAAGAGTTCAGTCTTGCCATCAGTTCTCAAGTGTGCATGTTGTGAGCAAGTCCAGAGTTAAGTCTGATTGCACTGGCAGGTACCCGTTGTCCACGCCGGCGGAGCTGCAGCACACAAGGAAGAAGGAAGAAGCCGCCATAAAAGAGCTTGGCAGAGAGAGAGAGAGAGAGAGAGATAGTAAGAGAGAGAGAGATAGAGGAAGAGAGAGGAAGGGGGACAGTAGCCATAGCTGCCGAGTTCGGGGAAGAAGACCAACATCAAAAGGGAGAAAGAAGAGACGCAGAGAGAAGAAAGGAAGAAGACAGTGACGAAGAGGGAGACAAGATCAGCCATAGCTGAGGTGAAGGAGGAGGTCCACCATAGCCGGGAGGTCAGAAGGTTAACCGGGAGAGTTGACCAGATGTTGACCGAGGTTGACCACGGGTGTTGACCAGGCATTGACCAGTGTTGACCGGGCTGTCTAGGGCGTTGACTGAGCATTGACCGGAGCTGCCTAGCGCATTGACCAGGAGCGTTGACCGGCGAAGTTGACCAAGTCCGTTGACGGAGTGTTGACCCAGCTGGAGCAAGAAGACAAACGGTACTATCTACCCAAGCCTGGCCTATCCCTTACCCCGTGAGTGTGTACCTTCACCCCSGTACTTGCTGGCATAGAGTCTGTCAAGGACAGTCAGTCCTATCTCCCTGTCACTACTGTCTAGGGTGTTAGGACTCTGTGTGTGTGGTCATAGAACTGCGAGTTCAGTTCGGGTAGTGAACCAAATCCCCGAAGTAGAAGTAACCTGTTCGGTCTAAGTGTTGAGATGTGGAATTGTTGTTAATTGTGCGCTGTCAACATGGTGACCCTTAGATCCGGTACTGTTACCACCCCCTACAGCAAAGAGCAGGAGGAGAGAGCTGCCGCCCTTCTGCGTGAGAAGAAAGAGAAGATGGAGAAGAGGGAACTAATCAGACAGGCTAAGATGTTGGCGCTGCTGGAAGAGCAGGAAGCAAAGAAGAGGCAGATGGAGGAGGAGATGGAAAGATGGAAGAAGGAGCAGGAGGAGAAGATGGCAGCTATTCAGGCGGAAGAAGAAGAAGAAAAAGAAGAAGTGGAAGAAGAAGAAGAAAGACCGCTAGAGAGGAGAAGAGGAGGAGGAAGCACAAGTAAAGAAGCGGAGATTGCGGAAAGGGCGCAGGAGTGGGCCGCACATTTGAAGTTAGGGGAAGACCAAGAGGCTGAGATGGCTGTACCCGAGGAAGAAAGAGAAGCAGCCAGGAGGCAAATTGAAGCAGAGAGGGATCCAGTAAAGAGAGGGGCAAAGGAGGAGGAACAGCAAATGGCGTGGAGATACCGGTTATCCCAAGAAAGGGTCAGGAGATTGGAAGCGGCAGAGAGGGCGGACAAGGACCTAAGAGCGGTGGAAGTTAGGATGGGGAAGATCCGAGCGGAGACTGAGCTAGCAACCAAGCTAGATACGCTGATCCAAAGTGTAGAGGCTTTATTAGTCGCACAGCGGGAACAAATGCAGTACGAACGCAGTCAAGACATCAAGATAGACGCGATACGCGCGGGGTTCAAGGACTTCGCGTGCAACATGATGAAACACCTGCTGACCGAAGTGGACATTGCGATTAATAGGACCCGAGAGTTTTGTACTGGCACCATTGAAGGCGCCAAGCTAGCGGCCCCTAAGGAAGAGGAGCCGGCCCCACCACGTCGCGAGAAAGTCAAGGTCCGATTTCCCGAACCCTTCAGTGGGAAGAAGGGTGAAGATTTTGATAACTGGGAGGCCAATGTGCACTCCTATCTGTATCTGCAGGGAGTCACACCTGAAGACCACACTTTGGTGGCCTTCCAGGCCCTTAGAGACGAAGCAACTAGCTTTGCTAGGTCGCTAGCCCGCGCTGCCAACTGCGATAACGATATGGTTACATACTCCAGACTGACACCTCTCTCCGACTTCCTGAAAGCCCTCAGCGAGCGATTTTCTGATGTCACGCGGGGCCTTAAGGCCTCAGACAAACTTCAAATGATCCACACTCGCCAGTGGAAGAGTGTGCATGCGCTAAAGTCCGCTATGCACGAACTGATTGCAGTCCCTGGGCATGGAGTCACTGATGTGCAACTCCTTAACCTCTTCTACCGCGCCCTGCCTGAAAATATTCACGGACACTTCTTTGAGAAGAAGAATCAGCAGGGCATGACTTACGATACACTTAGTCGGGAGGCAGTTGCATTTGCCGCCCAAGCGTCGCCAGTTACCACGTTCTGGCACAAGGATCTTTCTAAGGGAAAAACGTGGAAGGGACGCACCATCTCAGGCCAAATCAAGGCCAAAGATCTTAACGATGGAGGAAGGTGGTGCAGAGGAGGTTCCCTACTCTGACATCGAGTGGGGATTAGAGGAGGACAACAGCGCAGGCCAGGGGAGAACCTACGCTGCTGTCGCGGCTGGAGGCAGGCCGCAAGGAGAACAACGGTCCGGCCCAAGTGGTCGGGCCCAGGGTGGCCGAGGGCAGGGCGGCCAGGGGGTTGGCGGCTATGGCAACCGCCAGGCGGGAGGAAGGGGAGGTCCCCCGTCTAACCGTCCGAGTTCTAGTCGGTCACCTCCCAGACAAGGAAGGTGGCATCCAGGCCGGCCTGAAGGCCAACCTTGGTTAGACCTGGGTATAGATCAAAGGGTATGGCAAGAACGCATTAATAGTTCTCAATGCGTATTCTGCGGGGACCCAGGCCACATTATCAAATTCTGTCCCAAGTATAGGGACCGTGCTGCATCTGGGGCAGCAAAAGACAGTCGCCGGTAGGGGTTGCAACTGCCCCTACCTCAGGAGTATGTGGATCTGAGCGTGCCAGCGAAGTAGAGTCTCCCACTCCACATATTTCCATGGCAGAGGTTGCAGGCCAGCGTCTAGTAAGCTGTCCAGAGATCGCTTGTGTTAGGGTCTCTTTAGGCGCTTCCCTCACAGGCTTAGYCGATGAACTRAGAGAGAGGAGGCAAGCCTGGGCCAAGATGAAGAAGGATAGTAAAGGACAGCTAATCCTYGCAGATGTAGAGATATTTAGAGCTAGAGTAGGAGCCCTCATAGACARCGGGGCGACTAGGAGCTATATTAGCCGTAAAGCGCTGAGGAAGTTGAAGTTGAACCTAAAGGTCCAACGACTAGAAGAGCCTGTGGTCAGCATCCTCGCAGACAATAGTAGGATGCGCGTCGAAGAGTATATTGAGGGGGTTCACGACTACTTTCGCCTGGAGAAAGATGGCAAGGTAGAGAAGGTACTGCACTCCTGGTGGAGCCAAAAACATTCATCCATGCCACATGACTAGATCAAAGGATCGAGCCATGTGATCATTTGGGGCACACAAGTAGGTTATACACAGATTCTTATGCCAATAGTCTAAGACAAAACGACATCATATGGCCATTCACATGTCCGTATGACACATGAATTGGTTCCCAACCACTTCCATTGATCCAGGAGTCACCCACTAAGCTCTCTCTCCTCCCCTCTCCTCCCCTCTCCTCCCCACTCCTCCCCTCCCCTCCCCTCTCCTCCCATCTAACCATTCTGACGCCTGGTCTCGGCCTGGTAACAGCACTTCCATCACCAACCAAACTATTGTCATCCTAGGATTACCCGCCTGACAAACCGACAACCTGATAAATCAACCCAAAATGAGGACGCAAAGTGAACCAACAGCCGTTCAGTTGTACCATGGGCGAAAACATAGGCTCAAACAGGGATGATGTTGCAAAGCACCAAAACACTTGCGCCTGCCAAGCTGGCGCCATCAGAATAGCCTGAGGGACAGATATACTATGACTATGATTTCAAAAACTTCTGCTAAAAATTCACAACATAAAACCCAGTCTCATTTTGGCATATATCCTTTTAACCGTGAACATTTCAGAGGATACACAAAAGAAATAGCAAAAGTGCATATACCTGCAGCCGACGGAGAAGAATGCCAGTTGTGCAAAATATGATATTACCCTTCGGTCGTGGGTTTACCGAGTCAAGCCTGATGGCATAACCCACGCTGTTCCCAATCTGCTCGCCTCGCTCCCATGCTACACGTTCTGCGACACTGAAATGACCAGCAGCATGAAATAAGCATTTATCCATCAAATCCAAACATTCTCTTTCAGAACAAAAGAGAGCATGCATTGAGGATTTAGGAGGATGCAGCAATAAAAAAAGACCGAGAACAATATCATAATGGACCAGACGAGTGGAAGGCTATTGAATCTCCACAACCTTCTCGCACCAGAAGCTACCAGCACCCCTTTCTTCATGGGGGTTAACAAATGAGTCAAATGCTATTCCTAGCTGAAGTGGAAAGGTCAGAGAGATTGCAGTCCTGGATGATTGGGGCAGACAAATGACATCAGCCCTTCAGATGTTGATTCACATATCTGGCTGAGAACCGACGACCTGGATACATATCCTCCCAGACTTGATCAGGAGATGCAATGCAAAAGCCTCAACAGGAGAAAAATAGAATATGCCAACAATTACAGCAGCATAACCAGGTTGCATTACTCACACTCAGAGCAGTCATCTTGAACCAGAACCTGCACTGGGACCAAGGGATGTGAACGAGAGTACCAACACTATCTGGCGAAGGAGTGCAACAAAAAGGTACTCAAAACGACCCCTATGTTCACACGTGCTTACAACGTCCTCCCCCACTTGTCACGAAACCAGTCGGCAGGATACAGAAAACACATAGCCAACATGCCCTTCATCAGCAGAGGAGTCCATAAGGTAGTGCAACAGGTCGTTAAATGAGACCACCCTTGCTCGCCCATACTTGAAGCTCCAGGCCTCCATGGGCTGTTTAAGCCCCTCCCCAACAAGGGAGGCCGACCTAAGTGAACGGAGGCCTGTAATTTTCAAGCCGGCCCTAAGTGAAGGCCGGGCAAGAGCCCTTGGTTGGTTGACAGGAGGCAACCAATCTCTGCAACTAACCAGTAGGCCCGGCCAACGAGATAGCTGCAAAGGTTGGGACCTGCCCTCTGACCCAGTAGGACAGAGGTGCTGCCTACTGGGACAGGGCTTCCTCGACACACCCTTCTCTCCAGCACAAAGTCTGCAGGCCGCGCTGCATTGGACATTCGGACAGTGAGGCAGCAGGCATGAGCGCTCCTGCATTAGCGGAGGGAAGCAGAGACCGATCAGGGAGAATAAGCAGCTGATGTGGCTGTAGTGGGCGCCCGCCATAGCTGGGTGCAGGATGTTGGTGTGGCGGAATGTGGAGGTCAAGGATGAAGGCAGGCAGTGGGGATTGTCACTTTTTGGGGGGCAACCCTGCGCGAGAGGAAACTTTGCATGGAGAAGCACTCTTCGCTTAGGTTTTCCGAGGAGCAGGTTACTTTTTTCCCTGCTGTTGGTTGGTTCGGTGTCCACTCTATGGGTTGGTCACACGTTCGTTTTGAATGGACTTACAAACGTCATGAGAAAACACAGAAAAGCTAAGGGTCTGTTAACCATCTCGCTTTTATGGCCAAGCATGTATAAGGTACTAGCTTCAGGGTAAAAAAAGACAACCACCAACCTGATAGCTGCAATTCGTCGAGGCTGTGTAACCACAATGTTGATGTCTGTCCCGCAGCCGTGTAACTCTGCATCCTCCAGAATAAACTGAGGTACCTGCACAATCTCATCAGGAGTCATGGTAAAGTAGAGAGGTAGTTAGGGGATGATGTGAACATCACAAGGCACAGCAGCCACACTCATCACCATTGCAGGACGGAAAAGAAAAGATAAAGACAAGCACAACGAGTATGTTCTCCTGATGATAGTGACAAGATTATGCCACTAGGTGTGAGGGGCACTGAAAAGCAAGTATAACTGATGATAGTGACGAGATTATGCCACTAGGTTGAATAGACATAGGGAAGGATGATAAAGGCAGACAAGGGTGGGTGTGAGGGGCACTGAAAAGCAAGTATAACTAGCCCAGTGGTCGACTCCAAGGAAGCAAGAGCCTCAGTCCCAGACTGCACAAGCAAACAGGAACGAGCCAACAGCCATAAACCAACAGTACCTTCACAAGCAAAGGTTTCAGACAATTTGCATACAACCCCAATTCTCGGATGAACAGTGCTAACAGACCTCAATAGCCGGTGGTGCCAGGCAAGAAGAAAACGAAAACATGCCCGCACCAATTCACCTTCATTTGGCACACAATGAGACGGGAAACCCACATAAGGGAAGAGAGGCTCGGGGTTACTGGTGATTTATACCACCAGTACACCGCAGCCTGGAGGCGCCGCACGGAGCGCCATGCTTTTCCGAACAGTCAGCAGCGCACTTTTTCTTATTTGGCTGGCACTGCCAGCCAATGTGGTCGGGTAGACCCACGACAGAAAATTTTCGAAGTGACAAACAAATTTCTGCAAGGCTGGGCCTGTGTCCTGGTGGTTTAAGAGATGATTGCAAACTGACAACGAAAAATAGAAATTGCCCACAGGCAAACACCAGTAATATCACTGCCAGTAAGGAATTTGGTACCCATCCCACACTCAGGACCATCTTCAACGGATCACAGTCGCTGATGCAGCCTTGCCAATCCTTCAGCCAACTATTTTAGGAATACTACTGACGCTGGATGTTCTAGAATCAAACTTGTAAGGAAAGAATGCTTATAATCTTCCACAAATTTCCCAACAAGAATATCTCAGATTCCTTAGGATTGTGGCGAGCAGAGGGGGGGCTGTGGAGGGAAGGGTGGGGGGGGGTGGAGGGACGTCAGTGAGGAAATCTCAGGAGATCAACACAGAAATCCAGCCCCCCATCCCCTCCTCATCTTTTCTTTTTCATATCCGCCTTGATTTTGGTTCTTTTCTTCTCATGTAGCAAACCCTGCAGGTTTAGGTTGCAACATCCTCCCTTCCCACTCCCCTCCCTCTCCCCTCGGTAATTTGCCCCCGACACACCTGCCCTCACCAGGGTATTCAGGCCAGCATGTTGTCAACTACCTCCTCTTTTCCTTCGTCTCTCCCATTCCCGTGCATCGCATGTCAGTACTCCCCTCCCGCCCACTGGGATAGATAAATGGATCTGTGATTGCCCCCAACACACCTGCCCTCCCCCCTCCAGTGGCGCCCCACATTCAGCAAGCACTCCCCCGCCTCTACCCTCTCCATCATGTGAATAGCATCTTTTCTATCTCCATCGTCTCTCCCATTCCCGTGCATCGCATGTCAGAACTCCCCTTAACACTTCACATCCTGCCCACTGGGATAGATAGATGGATCTGTTATGCCCCCCAACACACCTGTGCTCCCCCCTCCAGTAGTACCCCGCATTCAGCAGACCTCCTTAGCACTCCCCCACTCCTCCCCTCTCCATCATGTGAATAGCATCTTTTCTCTCCCCATAGAGTTCCCACGATCCCCTTCCAATGTTGTGGATGGCACGTTGCAACCCTTCTAAACTCCTATAGCTTCCCGGGCTTTGGCTAGTGTCTCACAGTGCCCCTCAGAGTTGTGGAGGAGAGGGGGAAAACCGAGACAGAGGGCACAGAGAACACAGGGAGAAGCATGTTAGTAGAGTGTACCTCGATTAGTGGTTGCTGGTTGGATCTATCGGATATTGACTCTTTGTTCGCTTCTCATTTCCAAACGACTCATGCAAAAGAAGATGTGGAGGACCATGAGGGTGACAATTAAATAGTGAGAGAAGGAGATGGTTACGGTGTCTTGTCACAACTCCTTTTCTTGTTCCTTCATCATTTTCATGATCATTGCATTGATAAGTTATAACCATATCTATAATTCAAATTTGAGTTCTGCATCATGACACGAGCTAGGACCACTGCATCACACAGCATAACATTGACAAAGAGAGCTGAGCATACAAGGAAACGATTTTTGGAAACACATGAGGTAACTTTAAGTCTGATCAAGCAGGAACTTCAAACAGGCAGTGGTCCCCGGTCACTGTGTAAGGAGAAATGGTAGATGGATTGGGGGATACAGAAGGAGCAGCAGGTGGACACAGATTACGTAGGAGCCTTGACAATAATATTTTCCTACAAACTGACCTGAGTGGTCTTCCCACACCCTGTTTCGCCGGTAAGCACAACTGCTCTGTTCTTTTGTACCATCTCCACAATCATCTGCCTCTCCTTGAAGGCAGGAAGTCCTGCTCTCGCATTTCTCTGAGCCGATAAAGCCGGATCTGACATCCTCCTTTCAGCCTCCTTCTTCAACAACTCATTTTGAACTGCGCACTTGTCCTCGTCCCATGAAGTCATGCTGATCCTTTCAAACCCATTTGCCAAACCATTGCCGCAAATCTCACCCCTAGAATACATATTATGGCCCGTGGGATCTCCATAGTCTGGCCTCATGCCTCCAGAGCCATCTCTGACATCATACGCACCCCAGGGATCACTAGCAACTGGCTGGCCTTCAGCATGCCAACGCTGCAGTGCATTTTCCATTATCACACACTCCCTTTCTCCAAGCTGAAGGACAGGCGGTATTTCATTTTGCTGCAAGACAGCCACCACCGATTTGTCCAAGAGCCACCATTTCATGCGAGCGAGATAATGGGTCACTAAAAATGGGTCCCTTGTGCTATTATCCATAATAAGGAAGCATGCACCTGGCTCGACAAACAGGAGATCCATGCTAGCGTCGCATCGACCTCTCACCACTGGGGCCTGACCCAGACTGGTGACAGAGATGCAGAACAATCGGTGTCTTTTTCTTCAAATTTAGAAGTTGACCATGAAAATCTGCTCATTGAACAGTTCTATTGTGTACCATTCAGTCATAAGGCAGGTATACCAACAATAGGGGGGGGTCCATCTGTTGTAAACAGAATCTAAATATCACAAACATGAAAAAGGCCAGGTACAGCAACAATAGTGATTCCCATCGGTTGGAATACAGCACAAAAATCACAAAGAGAGAATGAGAAAGGGCAATAGAGACTGCAAGCTCAACTCCTCATCAAAGATCTTTTATATCTCAAAGAGAAAATGAAAAAGGACAAAACAGACTTTGAGAACTTCGCGTCTCATTGTCCTCCTCCTTAACAAACAAACAAACAAACAGGAAAATTAAAAGTGAAACGAACCAAAACCATTCTCTACCTGTATTTTTGGCATGTCACATGATCGCTGTAGTTCGTCACTGGCAAGCTCATAGAAACCTCCACACCAGAAAAGAGCTCGGTTTGCCATGGCAGACTTTCCTGCTTGCCCGTGGGAAGGACAAGTGGACAAGCACTTTATTTAAAACAGGAAGGGAGGGGGGGGAAGCTTCTGCAATGGAAACATGGATACCTGTGCCCCACAGCAGACAGCAGCAATCTTCAGGGAGACAGCTTTGGTAGGGGGCCAGGGTTGCATGCCTGCCAACCGCCGTCCCCGACCGCCGACCGTATTGCAGCCGACCTGTAGGGCTGACCGGTCGGCGGTCTGCCAACCAGTCAGAAATTTGGGGGATGCTATTGGGGTGTTGGTGGGGTTATTAGGGGTTCTAGACCCTTTTCTTCTTTTTTTCTTTCGTTTTTTCTTTTTTTTTGCCGGGTGCCAACGACCCCCAACCGATAGGTGCCGACCAGTCAAGGGCCACCAACCCGGGAGGCAATAATGTTTCTCAAATGCGTATGTCCAGTAGATGACCTGGATGGAGAGGAAGGGCAAGAGAGAGCGGATAGTGCAGTGTAACACCAGTGACACAGAAGGGGGACACGGAGGGGGACAGAGGGAATCTGTTTTGCAGTTGATGCTGCCGTCAGAGCATGGAATGATGGCAATCTAATGTGAGCTCTCTCTCTCTCTCTCTCTCTCACACACACACACACACACACACACACACACGTTAGAGCGGCCGCAGTCGGTGGCTGGGGGAGATAGCGAAGGTAGGCAGCGGCAGGCAGTGGCAGGTAGCCGAGGAAATCACAAAGGCGGCCGACAGAAGGCAGCTGGGGGAGATGGCGAAGGCCACCAGTGGTTGGGCAGTGGGGCAAGAGCGACCTGACATAGCAATAGAGTGCACACTTCTTAGTTTGTGTTGGCCCACTCCCTCTGGCACCACCAGTAACACCCTTCCAACTGCTAACGCAGATCTGGGCCATTTGCACCCATCGTCAGCCCTGATTCACAACTTATCAGTGAAATTTCAGATCGGCAAATCTGGGCTGTGTGCTGGCTCACAGCCCAGATTCTCGATCAATGACAAGAAAATAAGATCATCTGGCGATCTGGGACAGCTGTGTGCACAACCAGCTCAGATTCACAGCCAACCTTTGTTATTCATGCACGTGCATGCAACTGAGGCATTTGCAGGCATGAACAACAAACAGCCTAGATGCGGCCCTTACGACGATTCACAACTTCCATGTTATAGTAGATGGTAGACCACAGTCATCCATAATAGCAGCACAAAGCGCCAGAAATGTCATCCCCTTTTACAGAATCACTCTGAAACACAGTAACCACAGCCATTGGTCAGGAGACGGGAACGAGGGCATCAGGGGATGTGAACTTGTAAATCAATACCTGCTGGACAATTGCAGCCTTTATCATTGATTCTGGCCCTCCTTCTCCCTTTGCAGGCTTCTGCAGCAAACCCTTTTCATGCAGCTTGTGGCATGCGATTGTACATGCAAGGCGCTCTGCATCCGCTTTTGTCTTGGCAGTTCCTTGTGCAAGAAACACTTGTCCATTCCCGAGGGGCACCGGTAGCTCACACACAAAGAGCTGCTTTGCACAGGCCACAAGGCAAACAAGAATCCAAGAAGTGTCGTTCATTCCTTTACTCATCTCTTGTTCACATTTTACAATCCCACATCCCATACCGCTCCTCGTAGCAATTATCCGCACCAGACTTCTCTGACATCACAAGATGTCTCCCTGAAAAAGTATGGAACAGTGCGGAGAGTGCCTACCTCAAAGAGTGAACCAAGTGACCACAGCACGACAGAAGCCATAGCGAGAGCAGAATGCAACAGCAAATGGCAAAACAGAGAGATCTGACATTCATGACTAAGCAGTGAGCCAGATACACAAACGCACCACAAAGTTATGCAACATGGACTGCAAAGTCGTATCATGCTATAATTACACTGCGGGATAGTTGGAGAGCATGACAGCTGTACACAGGCCACAGGTCATACTTCCAGCCACGCGGAAAAAGTTCCGAAAAAGCCTAACCGCGTACTTAAGCACACTGTTGAATCTGTTGATGTTCTTGATCCTAGCTGCTCATCGGAAAAGGTAACTTGGACTGCCTAACAAAGACAACCACCAACCTTTGCAAACACAATTCCCAGCACCCTATACTGTAATGAACCCAGTCTGGCGGATACTCAGAAATCATCAAATATCAGTAGTCTCATTATCTGCATCAAAGTCTCCAAATCGTGAAGTGATATCTCAAACAGTATCTCATTACCATCACAAGAAGAGAGTGGAGGGGGAATAGACAAAGAAGATGAAAGATCACACAGTAATAATCCTTTCAGACCCCTCTCCTTCTCCGGGCTTCTTCCTTCTCCACGTCGACAATGATAACAAGTATATTCCAGATCACATACAATAGTTGACTGTTGGGGTCATGAAAGTTAACCAAAGCCATGACTGTTGGGGTCATGGCAGTTGACCAAAGTCAACTGTCACACATCCAGGCGCTGATGCTGTCCGGCCAGTGGTTTGGGAGCACTCTCTTGGACCTGATGCTGTCCGGGCTTGACTGTTGGGGTCAGGACAATTGACCAAAGTCAATCGTCACACGTCCAGGCCCTGAGTCTTTGTTTGGGGTCCTATTTGCCCCCGTTTCGGCCTGGGCTGAGGGCGGCCGAGTTGGCCCTCCGTCTTTCCACGAGACATATGGCATGGGTTATTGCAATAGACTTATAAAAGACAATTACCTTTCCAAAACGGATATCATTTGAGCCAACCCCATCTCCAGAAGTCCAAACAAATGCAGCGATAGCAGAGAAGGATATCTTCTATTGGAAGATTTCGCCAAGGGCCTCGCCACACCAATCCCGAGTTCTATAAAAATTTTGGGAGTGCTCCCAAACGCGAAATCCGGCTCGAGAGTGCCTTTCACCACACTGCACTCGCGACCGAGCCACTCTCCAAGTCTCCAAATGACAGGTGCCACATCCGGACACGTTCAGTGTCAAGCAGCCTGACAGAAGTCCGTTTGTCCCTTCGAGCTCCACTCCCACAGGAGCTCTCCCGAAAATGCAGCTTAGCAGGCGGTGATTTCGGGAGCGCTCTCGGGAGCCAAATCCGGACAGCTCCTGAATTTAATCTGACAGATCAAATTCGGGAGCTGATGTGGAGACACTGCACTCCTGAAAACAGCCACTTTCAAGAGTAGTGAGGCGAGGCCCCGAATGACAATACCTGCATCCATACGTCAGAGGGAAAAGTTCATAAGAGGAGCATAACCCCTCCTGTTGTATCGGGCAGAATTTTTAACCCTCAGATATTTGATCCTTTCCACTTCTTATCATCGAAGGTTCTGAAGATAGTTCATAGACGCACCAACCTTGTTATGGTCAGGACCCCTGCCATAAGTCTTGAGAGGGAGACCCCCAGCATTGCCTTTCCCACAGATTGCCCGAAAAACTGGGGTGTTCACCAGAATGTTCTTCGGGTTTTCGCCCCAGGCAAGATCCATCTTGTTGGAGTTGTCCTTCTCCGTGACACTGCGTCCAGATGATGAGGTTCCACCATTTGCCGTTAACAAGCCCGCAGCCTGCCCAACATACAGCCAATTACACTGTTGACTCGTTTCTGCAATTCAATCACTGTTTCCTCGCACACACCTCATAAACAATCACTGCTTCCTGACAAACACCTCACAAACAATCACTGCTTCCTGACAAACACCTCACAAGCTGGAACACTAGCGATTATATAGTCTTAAAATTCTCTTAATATACGGATGAATTACATTTCCTCCCACATATATCGTATCGGTGAGATATATATCGATCACACTACGATGCCTTGGCCATCTGACTTGATGCAATGCGGACACCTGGGAGAAAGACGGACGTCAGAAAAGAGTGAATGTAAGGGAAGAACTATCGGCCAGTAATGCGCCTCCTCAGACAAGTTTCGAGATGGATACGTGTGTCAGGCAATGTGATCTTTTCATTACCCGAATGATTAGCTAAGCCTAAAAGAAACAGGTGCACAACACACAGCTGCACAGGAAAATCAATGTCACCCACATTGTTTAACTGGACTTCACTAACCAAACATATGATTTGAGACCATTCTCATCTATCCAATTTTTCCTTACGCAATTGACATTCATGTATTTCAATCACATAAATTAGTCACTGCTCACTTCTACGTCAACCCCTCCTGGTCATACGCTCATTCTATGGCCAGGGAGCACTTTGCACCGAAGTCTTCAAAACTATGGGCGCCAAGCTTTACCGACCCGCCAGCGGCACGCCGCATTTTTTTCTTTGGTTGGCGTTGCCAGCCATTGTGGTCCTGTGGGCCCGAGCCGCAAAATTTTCGGAGCAGGCGACGAAACATTTTCTGCAAGGCTGGGGTCGTATACTGGCAGTTTAAGCCGCCAGATTTCACACGTCGAATGATTCTGTGTAATGGGGCCCAAGCTCTCACCACATTCACCCTGGCACCATGCACAGGCTGAGCAGGAGATCGGCGGGACAATGAAAAGTCCCTCACCCATCACAAAGAAGGCCCAGCTATGTCAGGCTTCGGTCGTTGAAAAATTTGCTAGCAACCAACTTCCTTTCGGAGTGTGGCAAAAACAAAATACATTAGTAACAATATTACCCTTCCTTGTAAAGTAACATCTGTGATTATTATTCTTAGTTGCTTTTCGATTCGATGGCACGGCATGCTTTCACTTGTTGTCTCATGTGTAAACTGCCTTGTCAGTTCTTGTGCCATGAGAAGACCAACGACGAGCTTTCATTACACATACTCAAATCCCCGTCATCACCATCTCCACGACATCACTGCTCACAAAAGGGTTTGGAGGGAGAAGGGGGGGTGCAGAGGGGTGTAAGATGGTATGATGATGATGATGATGATGATGATGAAGATGATGATGATGATGCGGAGGAGGAGGAGGAGCACTGTCATTGGCCGAGAAAAGAGAAGCAGCAGCTATATGAGGATCTGATGATAAGAGGGGAGTAATCCCATGATGATTCTCATAATCCCTTCCAAATTTTAGCCACTGTGTTTAGTCTCCAACAGAGCCAAAAGAACAACAAGGAAAAACAAAGAAGAATGAATCAATCAACCAATCCGTCAAGCGACAGGCTTTCACGACGGGGTCGGATGGACCCTTCTCATGCATCTCATCTCCCAGAAATTTCACCCAACCACAGCATCTGATTGAAGAAGAAGAAACGAGGTTACAGCCCTGATGATGAGGATGTATGATGGCGTCATGCAACTCTGCCCCAGCCCCATGCCTGTAGGGATTTGATCCCTTGACCTAGTGTTACTGGTACAGGCTAGCTTGGGATACATTTTTCTTGCAAAGCCCAGTTATTTAGCTCGGTTCCACCAATGGAATGCAAGCCAGTATGAAAAAGCAAAGCGGAGGCTGGCCACTACATAGTCCGATCTGCCGATGTGGAATACAGGAAAGCCAGCTCTACTGTGAAACCACACAGGAGCAGGCTGTAGATTCGCCGTAGTAGATGATGAATGATGAACAAAGAAACCACCCACACCCATGCGACGGAGAGTCGATTTACAAAGCAGCGTTTTGGCGGGAATCGTTCTCAAGAAGTAAATGACAAATGATGAATGATTATTCTTTTACATCGAAGAAACAGTACAATATACTATTCTATGAAGAAAGGATAAAAGCCAGTCAACGGATAAAAGCCAGTCAACGATTAGTTTGCTTAAGATTGGGTATGGTGTGTGGGAGATCAAGACCACACACAGCCTATCAATGAAGCATGTGTATAGCGTGAGCTTTCTTCATGAGAGTGGATGTTAGAGGTTTCAAGATTGTGACGGCATCATCCCCCTCTCTCTCCTCCTGTATCGCTATCTTTTCTGTTCCTTGCATGAGTTGGACCCTGGCAAAATAAGTGAGTGACGGATCACACAGCGGTTATTGAAGGGGCAAGGCAATTCTTGCACCTCTGTAGCTAATAATGTACAGTGACACTCGTCAAATGCCCAAACCAGTTCGCCTGGTGAAGTTCCATGAAGGCAAGAGAGAGAGAGAGAGAGAGTGATATGGACATTTACTTCCATGATGAGATTTTAATTTGGATAATTCATCCCAAGTCTAACTTCATTTCCGCAAGGTTAACTACTGTCATATTGACCTTCGCTAGGGCAAGTTAACACTAAAGTGGGTTCCGTCAAAGTGTTCGCAGTCTTTGCATCATTTGCTTTTTTTTTGCCAGTACAGCAAACACTTGCACAGCTGGAACTTCAGTTCACATCCATAGCCAATTAGCTAGATACATTCATCAAGTCATTTTTAATACTCACATGTAGCTGGCGACATGCATCAAGGGCAGAAAGCCTTTCTGCCTCCTTCTTCGTCTTCCAGATCCCAATTGCCCAAGATTCCCCTCCATCCTTTGACACAGGACCAACAAAAGGGCATCTCTAAATCATTGAATGTCCCCCAAATTGATCATTCACTACCCCACTTTCTTCTGCTCTCTCTCTCTCGCGCGCGCGCGCGTACGCGCACACACACCATAGCAAAATCAAGTGAACACCTTAACCCACTGAAGACTCCCAATCCATCCAGTAGGAGAGAACTCCACAAGTCACATCAAAGCTCATAACCGAAGCGATTTGTTCACAGAACAAGGGATGAAAATACATGCACACGCGAACCCAAAATAGTCACATTGGGTCCTAAAATGATGGCCTTCGCACATCCTCCAAACACCGACAACCCATTGCATGATTTGCTCAGACACATCATTTTCGATTGAAGACTAAGGACATAAACTCAGAATTTTACAAGCCTGTATTGCCACAATGAAATCCACATTTAGACGAAGATCCTGGTCAAAGCATGCCCCAAAACATATGAGGTTCTAACTTCACTTTATCCTTCCAATCGGACAAGGAAAAGCAAGAAACAAAATTGCATCGTCTAAAAATCAACGTGACTTGCAAGTCAAAGATCACTGTTCCAATTTTCAAGAATCCCAAAATATTCACAATTTTGCATGCATCCTCACACTTGCACACTTAATTGAAATCCTGCGTGCTAATACAGACGTCCAACGAAATTTCAAGCACCAATGTTCAACAAAATTCCAAGCACCAATTATACGACATTAGAAGCCTACACCATACATCCAAACCATACTTGCAAGCGGACGCCGTCCGGGCGGTTCCGCACGTGTGGCAGACCGCCGGACCGGACGACCAGTTACGCCCCACCCTCCCCCAAAAAAAAAGAAAAACGGCCCCGTCCAGTCCGGTCCGGATCCGTCCGGGGTGAGGGTGCCGCACGCGGCAAAGCGGACCAGACCGGACGCTCGTCCGGTCCGTCTGCTTGCAAGTATGATCCAAACCTCCCGTATGGATATAGTGATGACATCCCTAATAACCAAGATTGAGGGCTGAAACGGGCTCACAGTCCAGATCTCTCAGCTATATAACGGTATGGATATAGTGATGACATCCCTAACCAAGATTGAGGCCTGCAACGAGCTCACAGTCCAAATCGCTCAGCTATATAACGAAAAACAGAGGCAGCAATCGTAACACTCCAAGACCAGTGCAGCAAGCGGGAATGCGATCGCGCAGAAAAGCCACACAAACTCACACACAAGAATGCCGCAATACTCACACTAGACCCTCAAAATCGCAAAATCGCAAAATGAGTGGCCAGATGGAGTTCTTGTAAACGAAGGACTGATGCAATAACCACAAAGTGCGGACGCACAGCAAGAGCCACGCAACCACCAAAGTGTGCACACAACAACTGTCCTCCTCTCCTGTCAAGCATGCCAAACAAAATACAATACATGGTATGCAGTACCTGGTCGGGCCAGGTGGTGGTGTCCAACAAGAAATATGAACATAAGTGTCCGAAAACAGAAACTCTGCCCCCCCCCCCCCCCAAACACACACAAACAAAGGGGGAAAAAGAAAAAGAAAAAAAAAAAGGATGAGGGAAAAGCCAGATACACAAGAAAATGGGGATAGCGGTTTAACCAAGCCAAGTAAAACAGCAGGACCAGGTGTCACCAAACCGTACCAGGGTTGGTTAGCAAGGTTGGCTAGCTATAGCCGACCTAACTCCTTCACCCAAATACAACGTGCTCAGTCGTTATTACTGTATTTAGACTTAAAGATACCCCAAATATAGCTATAATGACCGACCGTTGTATTCGGGTGAAGAAGACTGTACATTGTATTCGGGTGAAGAAGGTAGTGTTGGGCCAGATTATCTATAGCCAGTCCACCTGCCAAAATATAGATAATCCGGCCCCTATTTTGGCAGGTTGACTGGGTATAGATAATCTGGCCCAACCCTAAGTCAAACGAGCCCTAAGGTCTCGGCCTGTAAACCGAAACGAGGAGCCCCTTGCCCAAACCATAGATCCATCAGAATGACTACGAACATGATGTCAGCTGCCATCGCGTTCTACGAACATGATGTCAGCTGCCATCGCGTTTATCCATCTCATCATGCCCCAACTGCAACATAAAAACATGCAACAAACAGCCAATCGTTGACCATTACAGGATGCTTCAATAGCACCCTCCCTACTTTCGTTTTTTCCACACAACCTTTCCCTTTCTACAGCACATGCCAGTTCTCCCGTTCTCTTTCTCTTTCTGCGCCATTAGACTGTGCCTGTTCTTTTAAAATTTGCCCTAGTTCTCATATATTAGCAAGTGCAGAGCTATGCATCAGAAGATGCCCATTCCATTATTTTCCATCTGACCTAGCACATTTGTAAGCAGAGCTATCCGCAATAATAGATCATGTACATAGATCCTCAACCCACTCCCTCAGCATCTCTACACTCACCATAGGAGTTCATTTCCTTTTGCCTCCTGCCTTATGGCCCAAGCCTCCTAATCGTATCACACACGGCACCCAGGCTTCTTCCTTGCCCTCTTTTCATAGATCCTGACCCTAGGTGGCTCCCTCAGCATCTCTACCCTCCCCCCACAGGAGTTCATTTCCTGTCGCCTCCTGCCTTATGGCCCAAGCCTCCTAACCGTATTGCATGCAACGTCCAGGCTTCCCCCTTGCCCTCTTCCGTTTCACGTCCCATCATGTCCTTTCCCTTCACGCCTGCACACCAAGCCACCAAAGCTGTACACAATAATAGATTACGTACATAGATCTTGACCCTGGATGGCTCCCACAGCACATCTCCACACTTTGTCAAAAGGCGTTCATTTCCTTTCCCTCCTGCTCTCTAAGGCCCACGACCGCTTCCCATACCACATTCAATATCCAGCCTTCCTCCTTGGCCCCAGTAGCTCCACCCAACCCTGTATTAACCTGAACTAACCCACAGCAAGCCTTACCGAGACCTCGCCTCGGGCTATAAGATGATGCATATGCATATTGTAACTTATATGAACATATATCATCACATGAATATGAGAGCGCAAAAGCGAAAAAAAGAAAAAAAAGAGAATGAATTCGTTTTTTATATCTTCTTCCTTATAACCCCCCCTGTTCAAAACCTCTTGCGTACAAGGCCGCCCACGCGGATGTAGGTTGAGCGGCGGCTGCCCCCACCCCCGTGTGTCATATCGACCCACTTGCACACAGCCAGAAGGCAAAGAGGCAAAGAAAAGAGGAAGGGAACAGCCAAATAATACAACACAGGGGGCAACAAAACAAATCCCAGATGACACGTCCCACATGCAGGCACCGCCCCAACTCACAGGCCAAACGACGGGACGAGACCAACCAGGATATCAAAACATTCTTGTGCACATATCTGTATATCATGTATGTTTTTACATCTGTATTACATACGTATATGCGCCTGTCTATACACATGTATATCATACATACATGACCATATACATATTCACAAACCACCAGCCTTCCCTTCTCCGGCCCATCTCTAACTCACATCCCAGCATTACTTTCCTACATCCATCACAAGCAGGCCATAGCACTCAGTTCCCCTGACGCAGTCATGTTCACACACTCGGCAACTCCTATCAGCCCATATCCTTTTTTTTTTTTTTGATAGGCCACGGCCTTCAGTTATCATCGTTGAACCGAGGGGCTCCAGGTATTTTACTCACCGAGTTCCATCCGAACTCAGGTCCGTGCTTCAAAAATTCATAAATATACCAGCTGAGAGATTCCCTATCCTTTTATTCCCACACGAGATCAACTGTTGATGTCCTGATGGCCATCAGCCCATAACCCCTTTTTCCCCACATGGACGTGGTTTCCCCTTCCCCCCCCGTCGTACTCACTTATCGTCAAAACCATCTACACCCGTTCTCCATCTTGAGACCTCTCTCTCTCTCTCTCTCTCTCTCTCTCACACACACACACACACACACACACACATGCACACACACACCCTCATTCGACTCATAAAGACACAGAATGACGCACGCCCTGACGAACAGATTCGACTTTTTTCTGCCCGCTCCGTCCAAGGTCCATCTCTTGATGTCTCCTACTACTACTCCCTCCTTCACCTTCGATGAAACCAGATAACTCCCTCCGCTGTTCTCCATGGTCGGTCGGTTCCTTGCTCACACCTGTTCATTGGCTGTCGTTTTCTTTTTCTCCTTCTTTCTTGCGTTCAGATATTCCTCTCCCACATCAAAGATATGTCCCCACCTAACTGTCACAGGGAGAGGTCGTACATATTCCCCATCGCCACTCGTAGCCATCGCGTCGCCGTCTTCTGCCAGACACCACACCCTAACCATGAATGGAAAGAAGTCATATCCGGTCAAATACATCCACGATGAGGGTGCGTTGACCTCGAGGGAAGAAGGCAACAAGCTTCATCAAAGGTTCTAGAACACAGGCTCAGAGAACACGTAAGCCCAGCCCAGTTTTTAGGGCAGGGCGCTGATTAGGATTAGCGCCCACGCCGGGTGTCCAAAGATGATGCTGGCCTCTTTGAACTAAGATATAGGAACGAGCTACACTGCGAATCAGGAAGCGATTCTGCCGCCTGACTGTTGAGGGTTCGATCTGCTGACAAGACGGCGAAAGTCTGACGAAACGACCTTACCTCCTACGGATATCGTTAAAGAGGGCTGCCCTGTTGAGGGTCAATGCAACCAAAACCTGTTTCGCTGTGTAGGCCCGCCTTCCCGCCTTGGCCATACCTACAATAGAACGCATGGTTATTATCATGGTATCTAGGTAGGAGACCGAATGACGGCCCAGAGACCTCCATAGCGACCGCGCGTCTACTCAGCTCTACGTTAGACGTTCCAGTCTGCCCGGTGGACGCTGCCACAAACACATACATAGGGAAAATTACTCGACGGATCTCCGATAACATACAGTGATGCTCACCTCTCCTCTCGAAAGGAACATTCACCGTGCAATGGGAAGTAGTCCATAACCATGCCTTGAACCTAACCTACTCTTCTCCTGACAAAGAAGTTCATCGAGGCGGTTTGCCACCATATCCTTCCTCCTCCTGAGCGTGTATATATACACAAGCACATACAACTTCAGAAACACATACACATATACCCGCACACCATTCACGTCTGACCGCGTCCACCAGCTCAACGATGAATCCTCACTCGTGAGGGAATTACCCATATCTCCTCACTCGCACAGTCCCTACCCTTTGCCGAGGTAATCAGTAGACGATCTGACGACAGAGGCCACAAGCAGCAACCGCACATGCGCGTGGTGATAAAACCAAGAAGCAAGGAATGAGTGGCGAAGCGTTCGAGGTCGTTGGGTCCCCTTCGCCTCCTCCCATTTCGCAGCCGTCATCTACAGCAGAAATGGAATCTGAATTCCCTTACCCTCTCTTATCATCAGATCTTCCTACCCCTCCCCCTCCCGCCTCTCTCCCTCTCTCCAACGTTACCCTTTGTCCCGCCTCTCTCTCTCTCTCTCTCCCTCTCTCTCTCTCTCTCTCTCTCTCTCTCTCTCTCTCTCTCTCTCTCTCTCCCCCCCCCCCCCAACGTTACCCTTTGTCCCGCCTCTCTCTCTCTCTCTCTCTCTCTCTCTCTCTCTCTCTCAACAACGTTACCCTTTGTGAGGGGTCTAGCACAGACCAACAGAGAACCATGAAAGGCAACTGCCGGCCTTCCCGACACAAGATAACGTCCACTAGGTCTCCTTCCATTCATGTGAAGATTCGAGGAGAATCGTTTGCATAAAAACGACGAGGCCCACGTCGATGATTAAGAAGCCAAATCGAACCCCAAAACAGGAAAGGAAAGTCCGAGCTCGTCCGTATTGTTCAACCCCAGATGGAAAGGTAGGGCAGCTTCGCTCAACGAGCACGACCGGAGGAAGTATTTTCGTTCGTTCTGACGTTTTCAACCAAGACATCAACCAACACCGCGATTACAGACATACAGGACGGAAGGGAACTCGGAAAAATAACAGAAGCAAAACAAAACCAAACCAAGCCAAACCAAACCAGAAAAACAGAAAACAAGCTTCATTGCTGCTATCAACTCTAAGCTCACGGGCGTTCTGAGAAGGTCAATGTGATCATCATCCCTTATCTGAAGATCCACCTTGGCTCTCATTACTTCACCCCCTACAACCCCCCTCCCCTCCTTTCTTCCAACTACTCCGGCCATCCGCTACCCTTTGTTCAACCATATGCTTTGCCAACTCCTCACAGGATCAAAAGCAGATAAGTCCATCCACTTTCTAATATACACCCCCCCCCCCCCCCCCCCCTGCCCTCGTGCACTCCGCCTTTTCCGCTTTCCCTTTTATCTTTCCCATCAACCAAAAATCAACCATGTGCTCATACATCCGCTGACGATATTGATTTCGCGACAACACCCCCCCTTGCCCCCTTTTTCCCCCCGCCCATCCCCGGGCTTCCCACCCATTCCCGGGGAATGATTGTCAGCAAGTCACCACCATGTTCGCATACATCCGCTGACGATCTTGATTTCCCAACAACACCCCCCCGCCTTCGCCGCTCCCCCCCCGCCCATCCCCCGTCTCCCCACCCATGCCCGGGAATGATTGTCAGCAAGTTACGCGGTTAATGATAGACACCCAGACATTCGCACACTCCTCGCCGCCAAAAAACAACGGTGCGTCACGGATCGTCCAGATCTTCAAGCCATTAAAACGCTTCCCCATCTTGGGGAGTAATTTCAAATCAAGGGAAATGCCGTGAAGCAACGAGTTTCACTTTCACTTTCCACCTTTTCTGACCCATACAAGAGGACATGGGAGAAGCAGCCATGTACATCATCAGTACCTACCGTCGCCCCGCGGAACACATCGCGCGGGAATACTACAGTAATTCCTTAACCTATGTGTTTTGGAGGCCGCTGTTCATAGTCTATCTCCTCTTTTTGTCAGATTAATCAGCTTTAATCGAGAACTAAAGTAATCCCGTTCTAGATAGTTCAGTTCTCCGCCTGTTCATACGCTATCCACCCATACAGGAACGCGATAAGACATACAGATAGACTCTAATATTTTTCATAGCTGTTCCTGTAAGGGATAGGTCGTTCACACAGCTATCACGCTATCACTGTTTTCATATGGATGCGAACGCCATGTGAATTTCGACAGGGATGGAATTCTCGTCAACTATATTGATCATCGCACAAACGTACCGAAATTTTCTACATTTTCTGGGATCATCGCACAAACGTACCTTGGCTGGAAAGTACCCGCCATTCATTCGGTTCGGTTAAGAGCGAAGGATAAACGTAACGTACACAGTGATTAGGCAAAGCCAGGGAGGGATGTGAGAAACGTACCTTGGTTGGAATCTTCAGCGCCGCGCGATATTGAGGATTAGAAAGGGACCCAATAGAGTCGAGTATGAAAGGCAGGCTTTGTTGAGTACAGCCTCTGAACACCGGTGATTCTACCAGAAGGATCTTTGGATTGGCGTTCATCAGGCCTTCCAGCGGTGGCGAAACAACCTCCCTTTTCCGCTTGTTTGTGCTGTTCAGGTCGTTCATGATCCCCTCTAGCGCTGAGCCAAGCCCATCACCCAGCGCGGCCAGCCGCGCAGCACTGGCAGCCGTGCCTCCACTTGCTAAGAGAGCGCCATTGCTGGCCGGCAGTAACGGCGGTGGGCGCGAGCTTTCGCCGCCCGACGCAGCGACGGACGGGGGACGGTACGCCACGAACCCTCCTCCGGTCGAGCCCGAGGGCCTGGATCCCAGTCCCGATCCCGGCTGGGGGGAAGGCGACTGACTGTTAGTGTTGGTTAAAATCGGCGCACGCAGCAGCGGGGATTGGTGCTGACGTGGCGGGGGCGTCGATGACTGTTGTGGATCCTGACGAGGCGGGGTAGGAAAGAGGCGTGAAGGCGCAGCAGCGGAAGGCTGCGAAGGCGGGCGCAGCAGCTGCGGAATGGGACGCAACGGCGGAGTCGACTGCATGGGTCGTGGCGGAGGTTGTGGGGAAGAGCGAAACTTTTCGGCCGCCGTTGCCGGCGGTAATGCCCGCAGAGAGGGCGAGTTTGCATACGCTGGCGCGGCCGCTTGTTGAGATGATGCCTGCTGCTGATTCTGACGCTGCTGAGCTGTCGTGTACGCTGGAACGGGCGTTGGAGGCGCGCCTGTTGATCCTCCTGATGTTGATGACAATGAATTGGATCCCCGCTGTTGATGATGCGAAGACTGACTGTTCATACCATTACCCCCTCTATCGCAATTGGATCTTTGCGATGACACGGGGCCCTGATGCGCCGTCGCCCCACGCTGCTGCTGCTGCTGCTGCTGCAGCAATGACTGTGGCTGGTACGGCATGTTTGCTGCCGCGTCATGCTGCCGCGTTTGCTGATGATGATACCCCTGCGACGCATCTTGCTGATGTGACGTCACCGGCTGCTGTTGCTGCTGATGCGCCGGCGGCTGCTGCTGCTGTTGCTGCTGTTGTCGCTGCGACTGCTGCTGCTGGCGTGCCGCCACCTGCGCCGGATGGTGTGGGTGCTGATAGATCCCCGCCTGATATCCCGCCTGATTATCAAAGGATCGATTCCCATTCTGACTTCCCGCCCCATACCGAGACTCGCTCCCGTACGACCCGCCGCCTCCATTTGCGCTGTAACGGCTCCCTGCTGAGCTCTGCGGTGGAGGGTGATGGTAGCTCTGATGATACTGATGCCCTTGGTTGTTGTTCATGTACAATCCATTGGCCCCGGCATACCCAGACATGGGGAAGAAGTGAGGAACACCCTACCTAGCTCACGCCTTGCGAGGACGGCGACTGCCTTCCCTCTGCTCCTTCCTGTGGGCTCTTCCTCCTCTTCCTTCCTCCCTCTTCCTCCACCTGTCTTGCCCTTCACGTTCACTAAGGCCCAAGTGGCGGAATCAACACAGAGCTCGTGTGACGTCCAGGACGTTGATCATTCGAATCTACGGCTACAAATAAGTAATTTTGGCAAACTGGAAAAGTGACGAATATCGCGCATCCACGGAATAGCAGAAACCGCACGTTGCTCTTCAGTGATGACTCCCGCCCATGCAACACCGCGCAGGAAGGCGGATCTCTGAGGGTAAACCCACAACACCTGCCTTCCCCGCGCAACACTTGCTACGGCGGGAGACGTTGTATTACACGCGACGAGTGGTTCCAAATGGCCGTGAAGTACTGCGAATCGCTGAGAAGCGATGCGGCAGCTCTTCGTTCCCTCCGTGGACCTCCACGGGCACTTTGGCGAGGCTGCCTAAAGACGTACCTGCATTCTCTACCAGACAGCCAGCGAGCCACCGGCGGGCCACCGGCGGGCCACCGGCGGGCCAGCTGTGGGCAGGGTGTCGGAAGCCCGATGGTCCATGAGAAACTTGTCAAACATCAGTCCCTAAGCGAAACCACAGCTTCTGCAGCCCACCAAGAATCGACTGTTATTTCGCAGGTCTAAGTGGGTTCCGCGTCCCTCCCAATTCGCAGGCCTGAAAGCTGCGGCACAGGGTGCTGCGTTTGCACCCAAGGCTTGTCTACTATTGGTTCGGACGACCAGAGCTACCGTGAGGACCAGTAGCTGAATGACTGGGGACCAGTAGCTGTTGTTTCTGCGTGGTCTTTCTTTGGACCGCATAAATAAATTGTCCGCGGGGCGCGCAGCCCTAAGGTAGCCAAAGCAATGAGACTAAGCGTGCGCACAAGAGGGAGAGGGGGAGAGAGAGAGAGAGAAAGAAAGAGAGAGAGAGAGAGAGAGAGAGAGAGGAGGGG